CCAGTACTATTTCCTGCCATGGCAGGGGGTCGGACTAGATGATCTGCTCAGGTCCCTTCCGACCCTAGAAACTATGAAACTATGAAACTATGCCACTGCTCCGGGAGTAGGTATCGGCTTCTTGCTGCGAATCCCAGCCCAAGGAAAGAGCCCTGTGGCCCTCCCACCCCCAGTCCTGCCCCATCACTGCTGATGGGCCATGACCTGCCTGGTGCAGATGCAGCCAGCATCCCCAGACCCTGAATTGTCTTCTGTTGCAGGAATGGGGGCCAGCTCCAGCCCCTGCAGCTCCCTACAGGGCTTTGGCTTCACCCGGGAACAGGGCAGCTCTGGTAAGTCTGGACACGGCGCAGGGCTGGGGCACCAGCACCCTAGGCAGGGAGGGCAGTCTGCTGGCCCTTGGTGCCTTGATGCCCCTGCTCCTGGCATCAGGGGGTCTGTTTCATATCAGCCGTGGCATCTTGGGGCTGTCAGGGCTGGGCTTCCCAGTGGGCAATGCTGCTAGGTGCTGAGGCAGCTTGAGTCCCTGCAGCTGCCTCTGTGCCCTGCCTGGGCAGGGGTCTGATGCCCCAACCCTGAAAGAGCAGAAGCTGCTTGGCTTTGTGGCTCTGTGGCCACTGTCTTGCTCTGCTCCTGTGGCCTGGGGTGGCCGATTCTGTGCCCAGATGGACAGACTCAGGCCCTGCCCCCATCTGGCTCTGCTCCAGCTTCCCCTGGTGAAGCCCTGCTCAGCACCATCCAGAAGGCAGCCGAGGTGGTCGCCAGTGCTGTGCTTCCCAGCCAGGATCCACACCGGCCCCGGGGCAGGGAGCTGCAGGAGGACGCCTACCAGCCCGTGACGGCACCCTCCCCTGGGAGAAGCTACGCGGGGTCCGAAAAGCCCCTGGCCCCTGCAGCCTGCAGCGTGCGAGGTAGGTGCAGAGCCCCACTTGAGACAGATGGGTGCAATTCCCCAAAGGCTGGGAGCAGCTCCTAGACCCTTGGGAATCCCAGCTTCTGGTGCCTGGCTGGAGGAGGAAGGTGCCAGCACTAATTTAATCAGAAACAGCAGTGTCAGAGCAGAGCTGGAAGCCTCCCAACCTGGGGGTTTCTAACACCCTGCATACTGAAATGCAGCCGGCAGCGACAGCTTGGGACAGGGGAAGGTGGTGGCTGCCTGTGGGCGCCTGTACTACCCGGGCTACAGCGGGTCTCTGCCGCATCCTAGCGGCGTGTTAGAGCCGGGACCTCAACCACACTCCTGGCTGATCTTCCTGCAGTGAGTCACCAGCCGGGGCAGCCGGGCGGCGGCTGGGAGGAGACGGATAGTGGGCGCAGCTCCCAGGACTCCTCGCAGGAGAACGGCGAGCTGAGCCGCACCTCTGACTCCTACAGCAAGTCGGGCAGCGACAGCCACTCAGGGGCCAGCAGGGAGCTGGGGGGCATCGCGGAGAGGTGGGAGCAGGGCAGGGGGGCTCGGGGCTGGGTACAGCTGGGGTTACAGCCCTATGTCAGGGCGGACAAGGTGGGCAGTCGGGTGGGGAGAGCAGGGACTGAAGCTGTCCGGGGTGGAGCAGGGGGAGCTTCGGAGATGGGCCGGCTAGTGGAAGAGCTCCCGGGTTGGGGAGCAGAGCTGTGCTCCCCATATCTGCAGGACCCAGTGATGGAGCTGGCATCTCCCCCCCCGCCGCAGGGTGGAGGCTGACAACCGGGGCGACTGCCTGCAGGAGGTGAGCCTGGTGAGCGGGCTGGCCCATGGTGCCAAGGTCTTCCTGACCCGTGAGGAGGTGCAGCACTTTGTTAAGGAGTAAGAGCCTGGCGCGCCCCCTCCCCAAGCCCAGCTCGGCCCTGGGCCCACATTCCTTGCCCTTCCTGGGCTAGCAGAACCAGGCACTGTGGCAGGGGGAAGCTGAGGGGCAATTGGAGGATGGTGGTGCCCCCCCGATGGGCAGGGGGTAGGTGGTCCAGGGTGGGAGTTAGCCATCAGCAGGCCAGGCTCCCTACCCCCCAGCTGAGTGCGGCCCCTCTCCCCAGATGCGGGCTGCTGAACTGCGAGGTGGTGCTGGAGCTGCTGAACCGGACGCTGCAGGACCCCAGCGACTGCGCCCGCATGGTGAATGGGGCTGTGGGGGGAGGCTCAAACAGTCCCAGGTTACTAGCGGAGCTTTTAGGCCGTGGCAGGGGCAGCCAGGGGGACCTGGAGGACCAGCAGCATCTGTCCGCATCGCCTGGAAGAGGCTGGACTCCTGCGGGCTGACGGCACTCCCTGCGTGTCCCCGCAGCGGGCCATGTGTGCCATTTCCGCCCTCATGTGCTCCGACCTGCTGGCCCCAGACCAGATCCTCCTGATGACCCGGCAGCACCTGCAGCAGCTCAGCCAAGGCAGCCCTGGGCCCGTGACCAACAAAGCCACCAAGGTGATGCTCAAGGCTGGCTCCTCGGGGAGCGGCTCCCTGCTGTGGCCCTTGGGCTCCGACCCTAGTGGGAAGAAGCTCCTGGGCTCTGCTGCCCCCCAAGACGCAGCCACCGCTCCCTGCCTTGGCACTGTGAGCATGGGGAGGGCTGCCAGGCACTGGCTGAACGATGCTTCCCAGAGCCCATGGGATCCTGCCTCAGGGTCTGGTTGGTGCAGGCAGGAGGGAGTGCGGCCTGCCCTGCTCTGGGAGACGCTGGGCATGGCCTTGCTTCCCCAGCCCCGTCACAGCTGGAGGGCCCGGCCCGGGGACCTCCACAGTGCACGGTGCTAGAGCCGGGGGCCAGCAGGGACCTCCCAGGGGTGTATGGCTGTGCTGACGTCTCACTCCGTCCTCCCAGATCCTGAGGCAGTTCGAGGCCCTGTGCAGCAGCCGGACCCCTCCCACGAGCTGCCCCCTGGACCTGGCTGCCCCTGCCGGAGAGCCAGCCCAGCACACGCGGGACCTGCTGACCGACACGGTGCCTCCGGCAGGGGAGAGAGTTCTCCAGCCCATCAGCCTAGCCCTGCTCCCCTCAGGGGCGTGGGAGGCTCCTGACCAGGATCCCCGTGTCTCCGCCATGCCAGCTTGCCTGGGACAGCTAGAGGCAGATGCGGAGACCTGCGAGCAGGCCGGAGACGCGGCACCCGTCTGCCCCTGCCAGCAGGAGGTGGCCTGCCGACTGGCGGGGGCACAGCCTGCAGAGGATGGTGCTCACATGGACCCTGGGCACGCACAGACGCGGAGCGGCGCGGGGGCTGCGGCCGTGCCCCTGCTTAGCCTCTCCCTCTTTGCTGGCATGGAGCTGGTGGCCCCTTCGGACGCAGCGCTGGCCACCGGTGGGGAGTCAGCGGTTGCAGCCCCGTGGAGGCCGCCCCACGCTGGGGACCAGGGAGACCCTGCAGGCGACTTGGAGCCCTCCGTGTTCTCCTTCCTAAACATGTAGCTGCCCTGCGCTCTGGCAACAGACTGGGCACGGACCGGCTGCCCTTTGAGGCCGCCCCTTCTTTCGGGCAGGAGGGGTGCTTGTAGGGTGGCACGTGGCCGAATCCTGCTGCACCCACCTGGCAGCAGATGGACCTGGCGGGGCTGAATCCCCCTGGAAGAGGATGTGGAGGCCACAGAGCCCTGACCCCCCTGCTGCACATGCTGGCTGAGGACGGCTTCCCCTGTGCTGCTGGGGAAGGAGGTGGGTGAGGCTCCATCTCCTGGTCCCCTGAGGGAGGGATTCACATGTGCTGGGCTGGCTTGTCGCACCCCTACCCTGCTGTCGTGGGTTGGGGGGCTGCAGCCCAGAGTCAAGGGGCACGTGGGCAAGGCGCTGCTCTGGGCTCATCGGTGAAGCATTGACTGCTGTAACGAGTTGCAGCGGCCTCAGCAGAGTCGCTCCAGAACCGTCCGACCAGGGCTCGGGCTCTGCACCTGGTTGCTGTAGGCGCATCTTGGGCCTTCAGGGCAGCACGGCGGGAGACATCGGACTAGCGGCATCCCCGGCCCCCATGGCCAGACCCTCACAGAGCGCTGCCATTGCAGACACGCGTCCCTCGCTGCTGGGTGGCAGGCCTGGGGTCGGCCCGTGGGACCAGGCAGAGGACCCATGCCCGGTGTGGACAGGGATGTGCCACGTTTGCAGACCCGAGGTGTTGCTGCTAGGTACCTGTTAATAAAAGGAGCACAAAGTCGTGCACATGGAGAGCTAGCTCGGCTCCCTTCTTGTGGGGTTGATCGTCAGGACCCGTGTCCTGCGTCTTTTGCCCCCCTTGCCCCTGGAATGGGGCAGCGTGGCTGGGCCATCCCTTACCTTGCCCTCCCTGCCCCTCAAGAGCCCCAGGGCCTCTGCAGTATGCGGCTGCCTGCGCGCTTGGTGGGGTGCAGCAGATCAAACTGGCACGGCTGGCAGGGGCCCCAGCCCAGCCCTGGCTGCCGTGTTACCCGCGATACACCCGTGCGTCCTGGCCAGGACGGTGCCTGGGATAACCTGTTTGGCGAGGGCAGTGAAACGGTCCTTGCAACTGTCCGGTCTGCGCTGGAGGGAGTGGGGTTCCCGCGTGCTGCTTCCCCACCGCTTGCTTTGCTTGTTGCTCGGAGGCCGGATCCCTGCTCAAGGCCTCTGGAAGCTTAACCCGGGCTGGGGAGTGGGGGCACGAGGTCTGGACGTGGGAGCTCTGCTCTGCTCCAACCCGGGCGGCGTTTTGGGCCCGTGGAGCAGGGGGCGGTGGCTCCGGGGCCCAGCTGGGGCAGCAAAGGGGCCAGGGGCGACCGGTCGGGCAGGCCCTGGGCCGCGTTGTCTTGGACAGGGCTGATCCTGACTGCACGTGCCGGCTGCGGTCCTGGAGCCCGTCCGGCCGTCGGGGCCCAGCTCGTCTCCAAGCAGAGCAAGCGACGACCCTGCGTCGGAGCCAGGCCCTCCGCACCGGCATGGCCCCCCAGCCCGCAGGCAGCGCGCCCCCCCCCCCGCAGCCCCAACCAGGCCCTGTGCTATGGGCCCGGGGGGCAGTTGCAATTCACCCTTGGGTGCCTTGCAACTCGGGGGTGGCACCCTGGGTAAACTGCAACGGGGGTGGGGGGCTGGCCCAGCTGGGGCCGCCCGGGGGTGCTTGGCGCTGCACAAGGAGCCACCGGGCCCGCCCCTTGCGGCCTCAACCTACCCCCCCAGCCCGCCACACGACGGGCAGCCGGGCCAGCC